ACGTACGAGCGACATCCATGGCCATGCCAATGCGGCGCTCAGCAATCCCATTTTGCTGTGGTGAGTCCGGAAGCGTGAAGGTCTGGCGGATCCCCCGTGCACGACAGTAGTCTCGCAGAAGGCGAGAAGAGAACTCTCCGCCTCTGTCAGAGTGCAGACGCAGAACAGGAAAGTCCGAGCCGAAGCTCTTCCTGAGCTGGAGACGAGCCTCGCGGATCCAGTCGATCAGCACCTCAGTGACCGCACCCTTGCTGCGCAAGGGGAGGACTGTGGTGTAACGCGAGTAGTCGTCAACCACTAACAGGAAGTAGCGCTCGTAACCCTGCCCACGGACGGGGGCTGGGCCCCACACATCCATGTGAAGCGTCTGCAGGGGAGCCTCTGTCGGGGGGAAGTGGGAGGAGTGAGGAGTAGCCCGGAGGCGACCCTCGACACAGGGGACACAGGAAGGTCCTGGCCCGGAGGGGAGAGGAGGGAGAGACTGGGGAAGACCAGAGACAAGGACACGGGAAGCCATGCTCCGAAGACGGGGCAAGGAGGGGTGGCCAAGACGGTGGTGCCATAGGAGAGTCTCGTGAGACAGGAGGCGACAAGAACAGGGGGCAGACTCAGGACCTGACCGGGACGCAGCAGCAAGTACCTGACCCGACGCAGCCACCTGACCAGACGCAGGGACAGGAGGAGACTCAACGGTCAGGGTGTAGAGACTCGACCCCGGCCGACGCGAGAACGTGGCCAGGTGTCGGCCTGTGCGTGCCTCCGTGCAGTGGGTCACCCGCTGACTCGCAGGAGTGAACTGGTGAACACCCCCATCCTGCAGGTCCGCTCCACTCACCAAGTTCGTGGAGAACGAGGGAAGGTACAGACCCGACAGGGTGCCCGAAGGGGCAGCCGGACACGGGAGGACAGTGGAGAAGTGAGACAGGACAGGACCTCCAGAGGGGTCAGCAAGGGAGACTGCAACCGGCCGGCCGAGCGGCGTAAGGGTAGTGCGGTCTCGAAAGAAGGAGCGAGAAGCTCCGGAGTCAAGTGTGAAAGTGAGGGAGGACGAGGACGACGCAGTACCTAAGAGCGCAGACTCACCAGTACCTGAAAGCGCAGACGCACTGGCACCTAGAGCAGCAGCCTCACAAGCACCTAGCGCAGCAGTACCAATGCCCGGGTCGGGCTGGAAACACCGGTAACCCTCATTCTCCTCACTATAAGTCACAGCATACATAGCAGCAAGGATAGCATCAAAATCAAGATCAAAGATCGCTACACCAGCCCTAAGAAGCTCATCCCAGCGAGGGATCTCACTAGCCCCAGGGAACTGCTGACGCCAAGCGTCCGTCAGGCGGCCAAAGCAGCGCTGGGTGGCGTGGGCACCCCCACACTGCTCACCCGCGCAGTTGCCGGAACGAAGAACGTAGGTGCAGGGACCAGTACCCCCACCCCTCTGACGCCCAGCGTACCACTCACGAAGCTGCTGAGGCGAAGGGATGTCCCGCGAGCGCTGCTGCTGCTGCCGGTGCGAGCGCTGGCCACCACCACCACCGGTACGCTGCTGGGTACCACCCCGACCAGCTCCACCTCCTCCACCACCACTGCCTCCTCCGCTGCCGCCTCCACCGCCTCCACCTCCGCCGCCTCCACCTCCACCGCTGCCTCCACCACCACCGCTGGCTCCACCACCACCGTCTCTGCCGCTGCTGCCACCACCACCACCACCACCCCCGCCACTAGTCCCGCCGCCACCCCCACTCCCTCCGCCGCCACCGCCGCCACCGCCACCGCCCCCTCCAGCTCCACCCGCGCCCTTGCCCCCCTTGCCCTTGCTGGAGCGACGTCTCCCACTAGGGGCAGACGCCGCGCCGACCGACTCAAGACCAAGCAGGTCGGCAGCAGCAGCAGAGGCAACAGAGGGCAGCAAGGGGGAAGGAGAGCACCCCTCAAAGATGGGGGTGCGAGGGTCACCACGAGAAGCACCTACAGCAACTATGCTCTTCTCCGCTGCAAGGAGGGCCTTCTCGAGGAGGTCGACGGTGAGGGTGGTGGGACAGACTGCGAGAAAGTGGTCCCTAACGACGCGAAGGGAGTCAGGGAGGCGCGCGACTACGTAGTAGAGAGCGATGTACATGGGGGGGGGGTTCTTAGCGCAGAACTCAGCAGGAAGGGCGGCGCGGTAGCGAGTGTCACTAGTGCGGAGGTGCGTAATGAGGTCAGCGACAGTGGGAAAGGCAGAGAGGTCAGGAAAGAGGTAGGGAAGCATGAGACGGCTCAGTGCAGCAGTGGCAGGGGAGGAGTAGCGCGCAACTACAGCGTCGTACAAGGTCTGAGCACTCTTGTACTGACTAAAGTGCGCACGCTCAGAGGTAGGGAGGTGGCGACGCACAGCAAGACGTGCAGCAGCATCGCGGGTGGCCCACTTAGAGCGGACAGCGGGAGCAGCATCAGCAGCAGGAGCAGGAGAGGCGCCAGAGGTGAGGTCAAAGAGAGAAAGGTCGTCAGCCCTGTCGCACTGTAAGAACAGCTGCAGGTCGTCTAACCAGACCTCAAAATCAATGGTGCGACCCTCAGCGTCAAAAGCTAGGACACTAGGGGTAGCCATGGCGACGACAGCGACGCAGTGCAAGCAGTAGGGAAAGAGCTCGCAGTGGCAGTGGGACTGTGCTCACCAGGCAGGGCAGGTTGAGTAGGTATGCAGAAAGGCGGCTCAGCGACCTGGCGGCTCGGGTGCTGGGCGGCTCGGGCGCAGGGCGGCTCGGCTTCCGGGCGGCTCGGCGGTAGAGCAGCTCGGGGGCAGGGCGGCTCGGCTCCTGGGCGGCTCGGCGACAGGGCGGCTCGGGTGCAGGGCGGCTCGGCTCCCGGGCGGCTCGGCTGCAGGGCGGCTCGGCTCCCGGTAGTAGGGGGGGGGGGGGGGGGGGGGGGGGGGGGGCGCGGTCGAGCAGGCGGCCGGGGCCGCGGTAGTAGCGGGCGGCGAGGCCGTGCGAGGAGGCAGCCGGGGCCGCGACAGGAGCGGGCGGCGGGGCCGCGGTCGAACAGGCGGCTGGGGCCGCGGTCGTAGCAGGCGGCCGGGGCCGTGATCGTAGTGGGCGGCGGCCGCGGCGTAGTGGGCGGCAGGGCCGCGTCGAGCAGGCGGCTGGGGGCTGCGTCGAGCAGGCGGCTGGGGGCCGCGACAGGAGCGGGCGGCGGGGCCGCGGTCGAACAGGCGGCTGGGGCCGCGGTCGTAGCAGGCGGCCGGGGCCGCGGTCGTAGCAGGCGGCGGCCGCGGCGTAGCGGGCGGCAGGGCCGTGTCAAGCAGGCGGCTGGGGGCCGCGTCGAGCAGGCGGCTGGGGGCCGCGACAGGAGCGGGCGGCGGGGCCGCGGTCGAACAGGCGGCTGGGGGCCGCGGTCGTAGTAGGCGGCCGGGGCCGCGGTCGTAGTAGGCGGCAGCCGCGGCGTAGCGGGCGGCAGGGCCGCGTCGAGCAGGCGGCTGGGGGCCGCGTCGAGCAGGCGGCTGGGGGGGCCGCGTCGAGCAGGCGGCTGGGGCCGCGATCGTAGCGGGCGGCTGGGGCCGCGACTTAGCGGGCGGCTGGGCCGCGTGTGGGAGGGAGGCGACACGGAGGGTCGCTCGATAGCGGAAAAAAAAGTTGAGCGCGCCTCGGGGCGCGCTTCGGTGGGCCCTAGGCAGAGTTCCACAGGGAACCCGCTCTGATACCATGTGAAAATAGTAAGCAGGAATGAGAATGACTAAGGAAAGATTGGGTACAAATACAACCCTAGAAACCCTGTACCCCATATGTGCTACCCCACTATAGCCTACAGCAACTATGTCATATAAATCTGACACACCCCTCCAAAAAACAATGTTTTATTATAAGCGCAGGTGCGCTTCTATCCGGGGTATTACGGTAATCATCAAGAGAATGTACATAGCGTAGTGACTCTTCTTCACACGCGGCGGGGCGTATTTGTGGGGGAAGGAGGGGGGGTTATCTGTGGGTGTGCGTGCGTGCACACGCGTGCTCATGTGTGTGCATTCTTTTGACCTGCCACTAGTTTAACCCTATTTTCATTCACATGGTACATATGCCCAAACTTATGCAAATAGCGAATCCAACTTGAACGAATTACTGACGAATTCCAAAACCCAGAACTCCTCATTACGTTCAGCTTTCACACACTGTCAATTTCATCTCCCCTCGTTCATTTCTCCTCTGCTGTTTCTTCCCGATGGCGGCCAATCTAGTCTCTACGGCGCCGCTAGGCATTCTTCCCAGCAGGATTCCCAGCAATCCTATTTCCGATAGTAAAGCCTTGCGCAAGACTGACTTATTCCCCTCAATCCCTTCGATCGCCGCATTCCCCGCACATTCCTTCCCCCCTAACCCGCCAAATGCAAGCGTTTTTTCCGCTCAAGGTAGAATCTCTCGCCGCTCAAAGCGAAGAGCAAGAATTTTTTGACCAGTCGCGATCCAACGGTGGCGGTCGGTTGGGCGCACGCGGGGAACGGGACGGGCGTGATGGCTCGGAATACATCCCCCGAAGGTTTCCCCCCGAGAATGCTGGTCGGGGATGGGAAGGGGGGAGGTCGGGCGGAAGGGGAAGAGGCGGACGGAGTAGGGGGGGAAGCAGGGGTGGCGGACGGGCGGGGGGAAGAGGGGGAGGCGGAAGGGGTTATGACGAGCGGACGGCTTGGAAGCGGGAAGGGGGACCGGATCGAGGCTACGCGCAGGGTAGAAACGGCGCTGATTTTAGCGAGGATGATTATAGTGGCGGAGAGAAAGGTACCTTCAATCCCGGAACGCGCTGGTCTGGTACCAGTAGTGAGCGTACTTATAACGGAGGATGGCGATCGGACGACGACAAGCCGCCGCGGACGCTTCAAGACGTGCCGGACCGCGTTCGGGGTGGATTACCTGCGTCTTTAAGGACGTCTCAATCGCCGGGGTACGATCGACGGGGCCGAGGCGGCATCAATCAGCGTGGCAATGCCGCGCCGTACGACAGCAGGCCGTACGGATCAAAGGAGGCGTACAATGGGCGATCGTACGGCCGAGAGCGGTACGATTCCGGCGGGAGTGACGGGGAGCGCAGACCTGCGGGGAAGGAGCCTGGGCGTGGGCGTGGGCGTGGGCGGGTGGGCGCGTGGGCAGGGGGAAGAGGCGGGCGCGGGGAAGCATGGAGCGGGGAACGACTCAGGGAGCCTGAGGAAGGTAGGCCCGCGGGGAGGGTTCCTGCGGGGGGCAGGGGGCGGGGGGACGCCTGGGGCGGAGGAGAAGGCTGGCGCGGGGCGCGAGGCGGGCGGGGGGGACTAGGCGGGAGGAGTGTAAGAGGTCGCGGGGAAGCAAGGGGGAGCGGGAGCGGAAAGAGGGGAGGAGCAGGGGAGGCGTGGAGGGGAGGAGCGGGGAGCGGCTTAGCGGAGTCAGCCTCGCAGCCAATAGGGGGACGGTGGGGCGAACGGGCCGAATGGCGCGACGACGAGGAAGGTTCGCGGAAAGAGAGCCAGTCTGAAAGGTTTTTATGGGGGATAGAATGGGATCCGTTAGCAGTGGAGCAACTAGATGGCGATGAATGGGGTTCGGATTTGGGAAAGGACGATGCGATCGAAGGGGACGGATGGGGTTTGAAAGGGGACGGTAAAGATTGGGAAGAAAGGAAGGGTAAAGGCGAAGGGATTGAGGGGTTTTGGGGAGGCGAGGAGGAAGAGGAGGCGGAGGAAGAGTTAACTAACTTGAAGACTCCTGGAAGCAGGGTTTTAGACGAGGGTTCTGAGCTTCTGCCACTGGCAGCTGCAGGCAAGAGTTTTGCAGCAGAGGTTTTTGCTGCCAGGGGTGGCACGCCCTTGATAACGGACTCGAGGAGCTTGCGTGGCGAGCTGCGCTGGGGTGTCAAGGAGGGTTTAAGCGGGGGTTTGGGGGGGAGTGAGGGGGAGGCGGGCGGGGAGGAGTGGCGGAGGCGGAAGGTGGGGTGGCTTGCGCGGGAGGTGGTAGCGGTGGTGCCGAGTGCAATGGTGCGGCTGCTGAACGCTCAGAAGCAGTGGATGCGCATGGACGACCTGGTCGCTGTAGTGGAGAGCCTTATAGCGAGGAAGGAGGTGGTTCGCGGGATACGGGTGAGTGGTACAGTGCAGTTGTTGTGCGAGAACGTGTGTGGTGGGAGGGGGGTGGGCAGGGAGTGTGGAGAGAGGGGGTCATCATGGAGGGCCAGGAAGACTTTGCGGGGGGAGGGGAGGGGGTGGGGATGGGAAAAGGTATGATATGATGTGGGTTGCTTGCATTTCAAAGTTTTCATCATATCCTCCTCTGTCTCCCATTTGTCCATCCCCTTCCTTCCTCTCTTCCCCCACTTCTTCCCCTTCTCCCTTGTCCCTTTCCCCCCTTGCATCCCCTTCTCCCTTTGTCCCGCTTGACCCCTTAGCCCCCCTTTCCCGCCCTTGTTCTCCTTCCCTCCCTTTCCCGCCCTTGTTCTCCTTCCCTCCCTTTCCCCTTCCCCCTTTCCCCTTTCCCCTTGCACCCTATGCCCCCCCACAGGTCTTCCAGTGGGCGCTGCATGCGCCCTTCTTCTCCCCCCCCGCCTCCCCCCCAATCCTCTCCGCCCTCCTCCTCTCCGCGGCCGCCCAGGGGAAGATCCGCCACATGCTCCCCCTCCTCTCCTCCGCGCTCCCCCAGGGTGTTTCCCCATCTCGCCCAGCTTTTGAAGGGGTAATCCGGTCGTTGCTTCTCGCCGCGAAACGTGCCGAGGAGTGGAAATGGGAAGGGGGGAAGGGAGGGGCGGGGAGCAGAGGAGGACGTGGGGGGAAGAGCGGGGGGAAACGGGGAGGGGGAAGGGCAGGGGGGAGGGGGAGGGGAGGGGAAGGTGGAGTGGGGGAGGAGGAGGGGGAGGGGAGTGGGACGAGAGGCATGGGGAGGAGGATGAGGGAGGAGATGGAGAGACTAGAGGAGAGTGCGTGGGAGGTGTATGGTATGATGCAAGGCTTGGGAGGAATGAGAGAGAGCAGTCCCGTGGAGTCCCCTTCCCCCTCCTCCTCCCCCCTCCTCCCCCTCCTCCCCCTCCTCACTCTCATCTCCCTCCTCCCCACCTTCCTCGAAGCTTCTCTACGAGCTATATGACGTGTTCAGCCGCCCATCCGCCCGCGGCCGCCACGTCAGCAAGCTGGAGCAGCTACTTGAAGACCTATCTTCCCTCGGGGCCCCAACCACCCCCCTCATGCACTCGCGCTTAGCACAGCAGCTCGCCTGCTTAGGAGATATTGACAAAGTTGATGCACTTTTGGCTAAGATGCGCTTAGCTAAGCTCCCGATCCCGGCTCGTGCTTTAGAAGCCGCGGTGATTGCTTGCGCTCGGGCGTACCACTCACAAGGACCCCTCGGGCAGCAGGAAATTTTCGGTGCGGGCAGAAGGGAAGTTTTTGGCATGCTGACGGGTCTGCCCGAGCGGGCAGCGAGGGGAGTGAGGGAGGTGGAAGAGGCCGGGTTTCGGCCGAGTCAGGAAGTATTAGTGGCTTTAATGGAAGTGCTTAGTAAAGCGCAGAGATACAGAGAAGCAGTGAGTGTATGGTCGAAGGTGGTCGAAGCAGCCGAAGCTGCTGCTGCTTCTGCTGCTGTTGCTGCTGGTTCCGCTGCTGGAGGTGCCGAAGCTGCTGGTTCGGCGGACAGGTCCGGCGCCGGTTCGGCGCGGCAGGCTCGGCCGAGCCTGCGGGCGTATAATGTGTATGTGGAGGCGTTGAGTGGGGCGGGAGAGGTGGAGGCGGCAGAGGGAGTGGTGAGGGAGATGGGTGAGAGGGGCATGAGGCCTCTTACCAAGGTGTTCAATGCGGTGCTGAGGTTGCATGTGAGGGTGGGCATGGGTGCTGGTGGTAGTGCGCTGGATATGCCAGCAGCAGCAGCACTATCACCACCATCACCACCATCACCACCACCACCACCGTCATCATCACCAGCAGCAGCAGCAACAGCAGCGAGGGATGCAGCAGTGCGTGTGTTCACGGAAATGGCTTCCTTTGGATGCCCCGCCAGCAGTGAGGCATGCAACCTGCGCCTGCAGACTCATCTTCTGGCGAGTGACTGGGAGGGCGCATGGGAGCTCTATGGCGGAATGAGAGGAGCCCTGGAGGGAGGGGAGGGAGGAGTGGGAGGAGTGGGAGAGGGAGGGGTGAGGGGAGAGAGGGGGATGGGACGAGGAGGGAAACGGGTTGCAGAGAGAGGGACACGAGGAGGGGGCAAAGGAGGGAGGGATGGGAGAGGGAAGATGAGGGGGGTGAGGGCAGGGGGGAGAGGAGAGTGGGAGGAGAGTGAGGAGGATTGGGAGAAGCATGGGTGGATGAGGAGGGAGGGGAGGGAGGGGAATGAGGACTGGGAAGCAGAGGAGGAAGAGGAAGAGGAAGTGGAAGAGGAAGAGGAAGATGAAGAGGAAGAGGAAGTGGAAGAGGAAGAGGAAGAGGAAGAGGAGGATGGTGAAGAGGATGGATACGACGGCGAGGAGGAGGAGGAGACAGAGAGAAGGGAGGAAGAAGCTGCAGACTCACAGGTGAACGCGAGAGCAACACTGCTGCCTGTGCTGAGTCCCCCCAACCAGCACACGTACGACTTGCTACTGCTGGCTCTGGCTGCAGCTGGGGATGTGGGGGGCGTGGAGAGAGTATATGAGGACATGCTGAGAGAGGGGGTGCGCGGTGGGTTGAGGAGGGGAGGAGGGGAGGGAGAGGAGGGCGAGGAGGGCGAGGAAGGTGAGGAGGGAGAGGATGGGGAGGAGAGCGAATGGGAGGAAAGCAAGAATGGTGGTGGGGTGTTTGGGGTTGTGAGTGGAAGGGGGAGAGTGAGAGGCGCGGAGGGGAGTGAGGAGGAGAGGGGAGGAGGAGGAGGGGTGGGGAAGGCGCGGAGGTTCAGCCTGCAGGGGCGAGTGAGGGAGGCGGTAGAGCAGCTGTTAGGGGTGGAGCGAGTGAGAAGGGACGAGGCGTGGGCTGCTGCAGTGGCTGCCCGAGGGGGATCAGCCGCAGCAGCAGCAGCCTTCTTTGGAGGAGCAACAGCAACAGGAGAAGGAAGAGGAGGAAGAGGAGGAGGCGGCATGGGTGGGACGGGGAGAGGCTGGAAGGCGGGAGTACCAGGGGAGGGGGATGTGGCGATGGGTCTCAGGCTGACGAGGGAGCAGCGGCAGGTGTTGGTGGGCGCTCTTCTGGCTGGGGCAGAGGTGGAGAGTGCAGACGGGGGCGTGTCGTACTCGATACGATTCTCACAACCTATTGGGGCGGGCGGCGAGGATTGGCGCATGCGGGTGCTGGACTGGCTGTACGAGGTGTTCCTTCCCTGGGTGGCTGCTCCCCCGGTGGATGTGACTGTAACAAGGGGAGAAGTTGGGGAAGGCGAAGCGGTGGTTGTGACTGTAAAGGGGGGAGCAGTTGGGGAAGGTGAGGGGGGGGATGTGGGGGAGGCGGGGGATGGGGAAGGTGGGGGGGACAGCATTCGCGTGCGGACGTTTGCTACCATTGCGCACCCGTCTCTGCAGTTCTACGCCCGGCAGTTTCGTCCCCTAGCGAAGGATGTGGCCGGCAAACGGGGCGGCAGAGAGGCGGCGGTTCCTCGTCTTATTCATCGGTGGCTGTCACCCCGAGGCATGGCAACGTGGCTCATGTATAACGGGTGGGCTATTAGAGGGGATGGACGCAAGGGAGGGAGAGAGGTCAGAGGGGAGGAAGGGGGTGAGGAAATGGGAGAGGGAGTGGGAGTGGGGGAGGGGGAAAAGGTTGAAGAGATGAAGAAGTCTGGTGATAATACGGGTGGTGGTGGTTATAACCTGGTTTTTGGAGCGGAGGGGTATTCTGCCAAGGAGGTGGCACTGGTTGTTGCAGCGGTGGGTGCACGAGTGGAAGATTGCGCTTGGAAAAAGGGATCCAAGGGTAGGAACAATGCAATGAGGTTCAGTGGGCTCTCTGCACGTGTCACTTGGCGAGCCATGGAGCCTTATATGGTGGAGGAGGCGAGGGATGCGCTTGGCCCTTGATGAAACGTAACCGTTGTGATGTTCTTATGGTTTGGACCGACATCATGCATTGGTTTAACTTCTGTGTTATCTAAGAGTCACTTGGCAGGCCATGCAGCCTTATATGGTGGAAGAGTAATTAGTGTTTTGCAGCTGTACAGCCCAGGCAAATTGCTTCTGTTACGAAATTTGCGAATTCGCGCATTGTGACGCCTCCACTCGCGGAGCTCCCAAGGCCACAAACTATCGGATTGAGGAGATTTCGTCCGGCCAATAACGGTTCACGACCCTCCATCCACCGACACATACAGCGTCTCGCTGGGAAATCCTTCGACACGTGATTCCCACACATCCCCACCCCACACATTGCGTTTCAGTGAGGTGATTCTTGATCTAGAGCGGCGATGTAAAATGTAAGAACGGTTTAGTAGGGTAGTGAGTGAAAACCAACACCAACCAACTCGATCGTCTCATCATCAACATTCCAACTCTGGTCATCATGATTACTCTTTTCTCGTTGATCTATATATGCCTGTCAATAAATTCCTTCGCCGCGCGTTGCGTTCCGTAGCCGCTGCGTGCAGCACGGGGCTCTTGTTCCCAGTACGGCACGCGATTGTTCCTCCCTAACGCGGCTGACGTGAGCCACGCGTAGGCGCCGCAGGAATGGCTGGTGGAGGTGACGTCAGCAATGGCAGCAGTCCGATCAATCACAGCCGTCCGAAGGACGGCTACGCTGCGGGTCCGCCCTGGATTTTCAAGGGCAGGTTGGTCCCTCCCTTGATGCGTAGCCTAATTGAGGTGGTCGCGGCAACGCATTCCGTAAATGATGAGTTCTGACTTTCCAGATCATTTGGAAAGGAGCAGTCGCGACGACGATCGTCGCGAAAGGAGCAGTCGCGACGACGATCGTCACGAAAGGAGCAGTCGCGACGACGATCCTCACGAAAGGAGCAGTCTAGCGTGGTTTCTGTGGCTCGTTAACGTTGGTTCGCTCGTTTGCTTGCCTTTCAAACACGAGGAAGAATCGAGAAGGTTCTCGCACGGAGCGACTTTTGAGACGTTTCCTAGCGAACCCGGCTATTGTGACCCTTACGGCGCAATTTCCCCACCCGACACACCCTCTATTGTCACACTCAAGTCGCAATACCCTCTATTCGGAATACCCGCTACTATCACTCTCAGGGCTATGTACCAGCTGAACCTGGTCAAGGCTGACGTGGCACGCCGCGTCGTTCCGCCGGAGCTCAAGCTCGTCGAAGCCTTCGGGTGGGTGCTGTAGGTTTTAGAGCGGTGATTTTTGAGTCTTAAAGTGGTGCTTGTGGTCCTAGCGTGGTTCTATGGGTTGCAGAGCGGTGCTCTGGGTAGTAGAACGGTGCTCATGGGTCGTTGAGTGGGGTGAGCAAATACTGTCATTACAATCGCTCCACGTTCGTCAGTATCCATCACAGAAGGGAGTGCTCCAAGGCGCGAACGAAGTCTCGCACTCCCGTCTGTGATACCCGGTCTCTGAGGCTTCGGCTGGGTATTCCGAGATCGGGGATTGCAAGTGCTTGCACTGCTAGAGTGTGCGTAGACTTCCCCTCGCCTCACTCCCCACGCCTCGCTCCCCTCGCCTCGCTCCCCTCGCCTCGCTCCCCTTTCCTCGCTCCCCACGCCTCATTGTTCCCCGTCTCACTACTTCTTGCCTCACTTCCCCCGCCACACCCCCCCCGCTCAGTCCTCCACCCCACCTCTTCCCCCCCTTCCTTTATTTCTTCACCCTTCCTCCCCCCCCCTCGTCCGCCTCCCCTCCTCTCCATTACTGCACAGCCCGCTCCTTTCTCCCTTCCTCTCCCCAGCCGGTCCTCTTTCCCCCACAACCCCTTTTCGCCGGCCCAGGTTTACCCCAACTACGCATAGTGCAACTCGAACTCCGCTGTACCTAACAGCACCCACTCACACCCCTCTTACAACCCGTCACCCCCCAGGTACACGCTGGGCGGGGTCTACTATGCACAGTATGACTCGAGTCCTGCGGGGAAGTTTGACGAGGTACGACTGGGGAAGGCTGTATTTCGTTGATGGAAGCAGAAAGGCTGCTTTTGGCAATGAGAAATGATTAATTATGCAAGCACCCCAAGTCGCAGCTTTTCGCCCAATTCAGTCCATCTATGTGCTCAAGGTCTCCCTGCCACCACCCTCCTTTTCCTAAACTCCCTTCTTCCGAGTCTCCTGCCTAGCCCATTGTTTTCTTCTCCTCTCTGATCGCCTTACCTCCACCCGGCCCTCCCCCCCCGTTTCATCCCTCCCCTCCCCTCTCCGCCCGTCCCTCTCCCATCTCCACCCGTCCCTTTTCCCCTTCCACCCGTCCCTCTCCCCACTCCGCCCGTCCCACTCCCCTCTCCGCCCGTCCCACTCTCCCCTCCGCCCGTCCCACTCCCCCCTCCGCCCCTCCACCTCCCCCTTCCGCGCGCCCCCATCCTCCCCTCAGCTCGTCGTCATACCCGGCATTGTGTGGGACCCACCAGCCTCGTGCGCGTGAGTCCTCAGCTCTGTAACCTGTCACCCTGTTACCCTGTAGTGCTGCGACCGTGTAATTTTGTTACCCTGCGACCCAGTAACGTCATTACCATGTAACCCTGCAACCCCATGGCCTCAACCCTGCACACGCACACACACATGCACACGTATGCATGCGTGTGCGTGCTCACATACACACACACTAGTCACTTTTGAGAATTCTCAAAAGTGACTCCCAAATAGCACATACACACACACTAGTCCCTTCTTGAGTACCACTCCCCGCCTTTTGAGGCGCCTCAAAAGTCGTGCTCACATACACACACACACTAGTCCCTTCTTGAGTACCCTTGTGTGTGTGTCCCCTCCCCGCCCACATGCTCCTTCCCATTCGCATACCCTTGATCCTTTTTTGTCCGTTTGTGCCATTTGATTGCAACAGGTGGGCGGCAGCAGTGATGGTGGACAGTGCCTCAGCCCGGGACCATGGTATCAAGGTGTGTGGGTGGGTGGGATAATACTGAGTGTTTGTGATGGGTGTGATTGTTTCAACAATATGGATTACCAGGAACATGGATCTCGGACTTTTTTCTGCTTTGGCTTCAGTGTGGCATTCCCTTTCCCCCACCCCACTCCCCCTTCCGCCTTTTTTTTTTCCGCCCTCAATCCACTCAATTCTCCTCCCACTCCTTTCTTCCTCGTTTCCATTTGCAGGAAGTTGGGTTGCCAAGCCGCTTCGTCTCATTCAACAAGGTTGGGTTGCTGTGTTGTGCATGGGTGGTGTGGTGTGGTGTGGATGGGTGGTGTGGTGTGGTGTGGATGGGTGGTGTGGTGTGGATGGGTGGGGTGGGGTGGTGTGGTGTGGTGTGGATGGGTGGTGTGGTGTGGATGGGTGGGGTGGGGTGGTGTGGTGTGGTGTGGATGGGTGGTGTGGTGTGGATGGGTGGGGTGGGGTGGTGTGGATGGGTGGGGTGGGGTGGTGTGGATGGGTGGGGTGGGGTGGTGTGGATGGGTGGGGTGGGGTGGGGTGGTGTGGTGTGGTGTGGATGGGTGGTGTGGTGTGGTGTGGATGGGTGGGGTGGTGTGGTGTGGATGGGTGGGGTGGGGTGGTGTGGATGGGTGGGGTGGGGTGGTGTGGATGGGTGGGGTGGGGTGGTGTGGATGGGTGGGGTGGGGTGGTGTGGATGGGTGGGGTGGGGTGGTGTGGATGGGTGGGGTGGAGTGGTGTGGATGGGTGGGGTGGGGTGGTGTGGATGGGTGGGGTGGGGTGGTGTGGATGGGTGGGGTGGGGTGGTGTGGATGGGTGGGGTGGGGGGGTGTGGATGGGTGGGGTGGGGGGGGTGTGGGTGGGGTGGGTGGGGTGGTGTGGATGGGTGGGGTGGGGTGGTGTGGATGGGTGGGGTGGGGTGGTGTGGATGGGTGGGGTGGGGTGGTGTGGATGGGTGGGGTGGGGTGGTGGGGTGGGGTGGGGTGGTGTGGATGGGTGGGGTGGGGTGGTGTGGATGGGTGGGGTGGGGTGGTGTGGATGGGTGGGGTGGGGTGGTGTGGATGGGTGGGGTGGGGTGGTGTGGATGGGTGGGGTGGGGTGGTGTGGATGGGTGGGGTGGGGTGGTGTGGATGGGTGGGGTGGGGTGGTGTGGATGGGTGGGGTGGGGTGGTGTGGATGGGTGGGGTGGGGGGGTGTGGATGGGTGGGGTGGGGGGGTGTGGATGGGTGGGGTGGGGGGGTGTGGATGGGTGGGGTGGGGGGGTGTGGATGGGTGGGGTGGGGGGGTGTGGATGGGTGGGGTGGGGGGGTGTGGATGGGTGGGGTGGGGGGGTGTGGATGGGTGGGGTGGGGGGGTGTGGATGGGTGGGGTGGGGTGGGGTGGTGTGGATGGGTGGGGTGGGGTGGTGTGGATGGGTGGGGTGGGGTGGTGTGGATGGGTGGGGTGGGGTGGTGTGGATGGGTGGGGTGGGGTGGTGTGGATGGGTGGGGTGGGGTGGTGTGGATGGGTGGGGTGGGGTGGTGTGGATGGGTGGGGTGGGGTGGTGTGGATGGGTGGGGTGGGGTGGTGTGGATGGGTGGGGTGGGGTGGTGTGGATGGGTGGGGTGGGGTGGTGTGGATGGGTGGGGTGGGGTGGTGTGGATGGGTGGGGTGGGGTGGTGTGGATGGGTGGGGTGGGGTGGTGTGGATGGGTGGGGTGGGGTGGTGTGGATGGGTGGGGTGGGGTGGTGTGGATGGGTGGTGTGGTGTGGTGTGGATGGGTGGTGTGGTGTGGATGGATGTCGATTCAACACACCTAGACATTTGTATGCTCGTACACTCGCCCACTCAAACTCACATGTGCACGCACACACAAACAGGTGCATACTCTCGCCATAAGACAGACATCAGTCTGAAGTAATCCAAGGCCACACCCTTCCCTTGCCCCACCTTGCCCATGGCTCACCCTGCTGCTCCCCATGCCCCACCTTGCCCATGGCTCACCCTGCTGCTCCCCATGCCCCACCTTGCCCATGGCTCACCCTGCTGCTCCCCATGCCCCACCTTGCCCATGGCTCACCCTGCTGCTCCCCATGCCCCACCCGATTCCCTGTGTGTTGTGATATGGCGTGCAGAAGCTGCTGCCATCGCCTCAGTCTGCCGCACACACCGCTCCTCTCAACTCCATTCCCTCCTCTCCCTCCACCCCTCCATTGAACGATCCAAGCGCCTCAGCCTCAGCCTCCCCCTCCTCCTCCTCCCCCTCGTCCTCCTCTTCCTCATCTTCCTCCTCTTCTCATGCACCTGCCAAGGCTCCTCTACAGCTGCTGTCCAGATTCGTCAACCCCTGGGGAAAGGGGCGGACACAGGGGCTGGGAGGAAGCAGAGAGGGGGGGTTCCTGCAGGTGACTGTGTGTGATGGGGGGAGGGGAGGAAGGGGAGGAGGGAGAGGAGGGAGGGAGAAGGAGGGGAAGGGGGAGGAAGTGGGGAGTGTGAGAGACGGAGCACCCATGTTTGAGCTGCACATGAAGGTGCCATCCCCTAAAGGTGAGAATGACTGTCTTGTTTGGAAGAAGAATCACGCAAAACTGGAAACTGATAAGTGAGAGACGGAGCACCCATGTTTGAACTGCACATGAAGCTGCCATCCCCTAAAGGTAAGAGGGACGCTCCCTTGTTTGCGAGGCCTGCATGCATACTGGCTTCACTTGTTCTGGGTGTTTTTTAAACTTGTTGACTTCTGAAAACCTTCAGAAACACCTGCAATCCTCAGATTCACCTTGGAAGGCTTGTCTTGTACAGCTTTCCTTCTGGTGTAACGGTAACACCACATGGGCGATTTCCGTCTCCTGTCTATGTGTATGTGTATCCCTTATCACATGTTATTGTCTCTGATGTGGAACTTTTTTCTCTCGGTCAATTCCTGGCCTCATTCAACAAATTACCCCCCACCTCCATCTTCCTTCTCTGTTTCATGTGTGTGTTGTATGTGTGTGTGCGTGCATGCATGCATGTGTCCGTGCCTCCCCATGACATCATCAGAGCTAGCAGCTGTCTCCCGCCTGCCCCCAATAAAAATGTCACTGCCTAGCTTCAGGTAGTGTGCGTGTGCTGCGGTAACCAGCTCAGGTGAGTGTGTGTGTGCTGCAGTAACCAGCTCAGGTGAGTGTGTGTGTGCTGCAGTAACCAGCTCAGGTGAGTGTGTGTGTGCTGTGGTAACCAGCTTAGGTGATCTTGCTTTCTGGTAACTATCATCATGGTAACCATGTTATCGTAATGTGGTAACCAGCTCCTTGCAAAAAATCTATGGAGAATTGTGGTAACCAGTCGTGAAAGAGCTTGTGCTGATGACTGACAGGATTGTGGTGACCAGCAGCTTATTCTCTCGATCAACCCTCTTCCTCCCATTCTTCCTTGCAACAGCCTGCTCATTCCGCCCTGCCCATTCCGCCCTGCCCATTCCGCCCTGCCCATTCCGCCCTGCCCATTCCGCCCTGCCCATTCCGCCCTGGCCAATCCACCTTGCTCATTCATCTCTGCCGCATCCCACCCGTCCTGTACCGCCCTGCCCCACATCACCTTTCTTGTCCACACAACCCTTGTCTCCAGTGGCCGCACGGAGGCTCAGCCTGTTCTGCTCAGAGCTGCCTGCACGTAATCCCATCCACCCACTTGCTCTAACCTATTACGTGCACTAACCTATTACTTGCCCTAACTTATTACTTAAAATAACCTATCACTTGCCCCTCCCATTCCGCCTTGGCCCATGTCACCCTTTCTTGTCCACACAACCCCTGTCTTCAGTGGCCGCACGGAGGCTCAGCCTGCTCTGCTCAAATACTCATGCGACCTCTCCTGCCGGTTAGTGTTCCCAGTTGACCTTTTCACCCTCATTGACCAACCAGGTTGTTTCAGGTCCAGTGTCTGCACCTGTCTTGTTCGGCCTCGCTTCTTGTGGCCCTTGTAAGCAACAGCTTACCTGGTAACTAGATTGATTCAGTCTCTCACCCTGCATCAGGCATTCGATTCACCTCTTTAATTCATACACACACACACACACACACACACACACACACACACACACACACACACACACACACAAAAGTCTTACACTTCCAAACATGCATGCCCGCACAGACACACCAATCACCCCGCATTTCCCCCTCTCCTCCTTCGCTCTGCTGTTTCGCCCTTTCAACCTACCTGCGCTCTGCCCCTGCAGTGTAAGCCTCATGCCGCCTGCCACCACCCGCATCAGCCCAGCCTACAGCTACACCTCGCCCACCGGTGCTTCTGACTCTTTTACTGACTCTGTGACTTCTTCCAAGGAGCAGAATGCTAGCAGGAAGAGCCAGGATGTGGTGCTTGAGGTTCTCTCTGGTCGGCCGCTGATTGCGATGTGCTTCGAGGGGATGGAGATGAGAGTGGAGGCACCGACGCGGGTGGTGTTGCCTGCAACGACGGTTCCGAGGGAAGTCAAGGCTTGTGATGTCGTTGTCACCACAACCAGCTTGCAGTTCGAGGTTAAGAATAGTATTGAATCGCCTTTCGTGGCTGATTACAAGACTGCTTGAATCAAACCAATTGTTGGGCTGAGAAAAGCCCTTAGGATCTTTCAAGGCTAAACTCTGAGTACCTTGTGTTTGCGGAAGCGTTTAAGGACAAAGTGTTGAACCACCTTGCGTTAGTATGTGAGGGCAAGATAGATTGTTTAAGGCAAGAAGATACAAGGTTTTTATAAGAGTACAAGGAATATGAAAAGATACCGTATTCTCCCGGATAAAACACCCTAGGGTATTATGAAAACCAATGGGAAAAAATGGGGGGGGTCTCCTCAAAGGAAAATCCTACATAATACCCGGGTCTTATTATATGGTATATTTTTTATCAAGTAGAAAAGATGTGAAACAAAATCAGGGGCCTGACTCCACTTCAAGAATGTTGACCAGTGCCGCAAAACCGAGTATACGAGGATAACGTGACCGCCCACTGGAATCTGCCACGTGGCAAATTCGAGTGGGCAATTCTGGCACTTGATAGGGTGAAATGAAAACAAAGCCAATTGCGTGGCGAGGGTTCATGCAACCGCCGAGGCCAGAATCGCGCACGGTGGTGCGTTCTTACTGCACCAGTCACTTCTTGACTGGTTTGGTCACGTGTCTGTGTCTCATGTGAGAAGGTGATTTTCACCTATTGGGCCACTTGCAGCGGAAGATTCGCCAGCGTGGCGACAGCGAGATTGTGGGAGGGGGGAAATCTTGGCAGATTCTAAGTGAAAGTACACGCGAAATTTCACCTAGGGAGCAATTCTCGCGATATCTTCCCGTAAGGAATCGGACTCGATAACAGCTATAATATGATGTCAAATGTTGTAGCCTGTAGTGAGGTTTGTCTTAGGGGGTACAGAAGTTAGGGTTTGTCATATGTACCCCAACCAACATCAATGCAACACTCATTCCTCATTTTGACATGGTATCAGCTAGGTTAGGATCCTGTGGGATCCCGTTCCTCCGTTCTCCGTTCGTACCTCCCGAGCCTGATCCTACCTCTCGTTCGTACCAGTTTCGTAGTTACCGCGCCTAGTACCGAGCCTAGCGTCATCTCCCCCGTCGCGTCACGCCTGTTCCCCCCCCGTCGCGTCACGCCCGTTCCCCCTGTCACGTCGCGCCCGTTCCCCCCGTCGCGTCGCGCCCGTTCCCCCCGTCGCGTCGCGCCCGTTCCCCCTGTCGCGTCGCGCCCGTTCCCCCCCGTCGCGTCGCGCCCGTTCCCCCCGTCGCGTCGCGCCTGCCTGTTACCCCCCCCCGTCCCGTCGCCCTGTCCCGTCGCGTCGCCCTGTCCCGTCGCCCTGTCCCGTCGCCCTGTCCCGTCGCGTCGCCCTGTCCCGTCGCGTCGCCCTGCCCTGTCCCGTCGCGTCGCCCTGCCCTGTCCCGTCGCCCTGTCCCGTCGCGTCGCCCTACCCCGTCGCGTCGCCCTGCCCTGTCCCGTCGCCCTGCTCCGTCGCGCCGCCCTGCCCCGTCGCGTCGCCCTGTCCCGTCGCGTCGCCCTGCCCCGTCGCGTCGCCCTGACCTTTCCCCCGTCGCGTCGCCCTCCCTAGGCCCTGGCCTGTCGCCCTTCCTAGGCCCTGGCCCGTCGCCCTACCCTAGGCCCTGGCCCGTTGCCCTACCCTACGTCTTGGCCCGTCGTCCTAGCCCACTCTTCCGCTGCGACTGAGTCCTCTTCCCCCCCCGGTTGTTACTCGCCTGTTCGTTCTCACTATGGCGACTCCGCGAGTTCTTCGTTTCGACGCCGACGGTAGACCCCTTGACTTTTCCGTCTGGCTTCTTCGCGCTCGTCGTCTGTTAGAGAGTCAGGTCCAGGGGGGCGAGACCCTCTGGTCACACGCTACTGGTGACCTCCCCGAGCCCCCCGAGCCTACAGCTTTAGGCCCTGCTCCTGACGATGCTGCTACGGCTCGCTTTGCCCGTCAGCGCGCTGACCGGACGGCTTGGACGTCGCGTGACGCTGCGGCCTGCATCGCACTCAGCAGCCTCCTCCCTGAGTCCGAGGAGGTCCACTTTACTCAGGTTCGCACCGCTGCTGCGTACCTCACTGCGATTAAGGCCCGCTACTCTACTCCCGCTACTGTCTCTCTCGGCCGTCTTTTCCTCCCGTTCCTGTTTCCTGATCTTGCCTCGTTTGAGCGCTCTGCTGACTTGATCGCTCACCTCCGCTCGCTTGACGCTAGTTACCGCGCTGCTTGCACTGAGGCACAGCTTGCACTGCTTCCTCCCCCCATGGCGATTACTGTCTATTTCATCGCCACTAGCCTCCCTGACCGCCTTGCCTCCGTTCGTGACGCGCTTCTGCTGAAGCACCCTAGTGAGCTGACTATCGAGGTCCTTGAGTCTGCACTCAAGGATGTCGAGAGCAACCTTCGTTCGGTAGCTGCCGCCTCTGGTACTGTATCCCCCCCACTCTTCCACGGGTGCACAGTCCCGCAGTTACCCACCTTCACTGCCTCTCTTGCCACTGCCGCTACTGACGCGACTGCGGCTGCTGTTACGACTGCGTCGCGGTCCCGCGGCAGGGGGGGCAAGAAAGGTGGTTCCGGTGGAGGTGGAGGCGGAGGTAGCGGAGGTAGTGGGGGTGCTGTTGCGACTGGCGGTGGTGGGAGTGCAGCGTCTGGAGAGACCCCTCGTGCAGCGGCCGGTGACTCCACTGCACCTGCTGGTGGCAGCGACCCTCGAGCTCGTCAGTCGCCTCCTGTACTGTCGGCCCCGCTAGGTGGAGCAGCGGCGTGGTACCAGGCTCAGCGTCAGCAGCACCTTCAGCAGCAGCAGCAGCCCCTTTCCTCCCAGCAGCCTCAGCAGCAGCAGCGTCAGCAGCTGGCTCCGGGGTCGGGGCTGCGTCAGCCCCAGCGCGGTGCTGCTTACCCTCCCTGCCCCTACCAGGTTCAGACAGGTCCTCGTCGGGGCCACCCTTGTGGCCGCTTTCACCCCCCTGGTCAGTGCTTTGCTCAACTCACTGACACGGTCCGGTTGACCTACGGGGTTGGCGGTCCTGCTCCTGACTGGCTTCCTCTAGTTCAGCGCTACGGCTCCGCTCTGTGGGGCATGTCTGCTGAGCAGTTAGTTGATCTGATTAGTGCTCCTCATGCTATGTATGCTGTTGTTGACTCTAGTGTTTCTGACTCTGTTTACTCTGGTGTTGTTAGCTTAGGTGCTAGTCTTGCTGAGTTGCCTGTTGCTAGTGTAGGTACTTGTGTAGACTCTAGACCAGCGACTACCTCAGAGGACGCTTCGCTGTCGTTCACACTGGACTCTGGAGCCTCCCACTGCTTCTTTCGGGACAGCACGACACTTACTCCACTTCCTGCGCCTGTTTCTGTAGCGTTGGCTGATCCCACTACGGGACCAGTCACTGCACGTCACACTACCACTTTACCGTGTCCTGCTGCTCCCTCCGGGTCTCTCACTGGGTTTCACGTCCCCTCGTTCTCCCGGAACTTGGTGGGCGTGCGACCCCTCGTGAGCCAGCACGTGGGTGTGTGGTTTGAGCCTTCTGGAGAGACTGCGGTGTGTGTTGACGGAGACTCTTACCAGCCTCTTGCTACCTTTACTGCTGAGCCGGGCTCGGGTCTCTACACTCTTCACACTGGCCCGCGTGCGCCGCAGCAGCAGCCGCAGCAGCAGCAGCAGCCGCAGCCGCAGCAGCAGCAGCAGCAGCAGCACCAGCGGCCGCACCAGCAGCCCCCCCTACTGCCACTGCCCCCGGTTCCCCCCCCCGTTCGGGTCCCCGCGTCTCACCAGGTTGCTACGTCCCCCCAGGTGTCTGTGTCGTGTCAGGTTCCTCCGTCTGTTCCAGTCGCTGCGTCGTGCTCCTGCCGGTCGCTTGCCCACCCCACCGTTCTGTGGCACCACCGGATGGGGCACCCGTCCCTTCCACGTCTGCGCGCTATGTCTAGTCAGCGTCTTGTCCTAGGCCTCCCACGTGTCTTGCCGTCGCTGCCGCCTTCGCCTGCGCCGCCGTGTCGTCCCTGCGTCGAGGGTAGGCTGCGCGCCACCCCTCACTCCTCCTCCCTTCGTCCGGCCACCGAGCCTTTTGAGACGCTTCACTTGGACGTCTGGGGCCCAGCCCCTCGTCTAGGCCCTGAGCGTGAGCGTTACTTTCTGGTGGTCGTTGACGACTTCTCCCGCTACACCACAGTGTTCCCTCTGGCGAAGAAGTCTGAGGTGACTTCTACGCTGATCAGGTGGTTGCTCACCACCGAGGACACTCGTGGTCGTCGTGTCAGCTGTCTCCACTCCGACCGTGGGGGTGAGTTTCGCTCCGGCATTCTCGCTGGATTCTGTCGCGAGCAGGGCATTCGTCAGTCCTGGACGCTTCCAGAGTCCCCACAGCAGAATGGGGTTGCTGAGCGCCGCATAGGCCTGGTCATGGAGATCGCCCGCACCTCCCTGACTCACGCCTGTGCCCCCCATTTTCTGTGGCCCTACGCGGTCAGGTACGCCGCGCACCAGCTGAACCTCTGGCCACGTGTCTCTCGACCAGAGGTTTCACCGACCAGTCTTTGGACAGGGTTCCCTGGTGTTGCGTCGCGGTTTCGTGTCTGGGGGTGCTTGGCTCTTGTCCGCGACACCTCCGCGGACAAGCTCTCGCCTCGTGCCGTCCCCTGTGTCTTCCTTGGTTTCCCTGAGGACTCCTCTGACTTCACCTTTTACCACCCTCCCTCTCACCGGTTCTTTGACTCCCGTGACGTCCGTTTCGAGGAGTCCACTCCGTACTACGTCAGGTACCCCAGTCGAGGTCTCCCGGTTCCTCCTCCCCCCCTCTTCCTGACTGCCGTTCCCCCTCCTGCTCCCCCGGTACAGCCTCCCCCCCCTGGTCCAGCCCCGTCAGGTGTGTCCCAGGCTACCCCTCCTCCTTCGGTAGCCCCTCCGGTACAGCCTCCCTCCCCACAGTCCTCCTCGCAGCGTGCCGCTGGTGCTAGCTCTCGAGAGGTTGGTGCGACGCCTGTTCCTGTACCGGTTTCTGGTTCTGGGGGTGCTGGAGTTAGAGCTGGAGTTGGAGCTGGAGTTGGAGCTGGAGTTGGCAC